AAAAACGATCCAAGTATATGCTGTCTACAAACAACACATGTTAATTTCAAAGACAAACAGGTTGGAAGTAAAAGGTAAATTATTCAGCCATAAAAAGGAATAAAGCATTAAATCACCCTACAAGACAGATGAACCTTGAAAACATTATGCTATGTGAAAAAGCCAGACATATTAAACCACAGACTGCTGAGAAAGATTTTTTAATAAAAAAAGAAAAATTAAAAAATTAAAAATTAAAAAAAAAAAGCCAGACATAAAAGGCCACATATTATATGATTCAATTATATAAAATGTCTAGAAAGGACAAATCCATAGAAACAAAAAGCAGATTAGTGTTTGACAGGGAATAGGTTAGAGTAGGGAGTGGCTACTAATGGATAAGAGACTTCTTTTGGAGGTCAGAAAAATGTTCTGGAATTAGATAGTGGTGATGGTTGCACAACTTTGTGAATATACTAAAAATTAAATTTAAAAATGCACAAAGAATTTAAGTATTTGTCCAAAGAAGATACCCAAATTGTCAATAAACACATGAAAAGATATTTGACATCACTAGCTATTAGGTAACTGCAAATCAAAACCATAAGAGATATCACTTCATATACATTAGGAAGGTTATTATTTAAGAAACACAAAGTGGCCGGGCGCGGTGGCTCACGCCTGTAATCCTAGCACTTTGGGAGGCCGAGGCGGGCGGATCGCTCAAGGTCAGGAGTTCAAAACCAGCCTGAGCGAGACCCCGTCTCTACCAAAAAAAATAGAAAGAAATTAATTGACCAACTAATATTATAAAAAATTAGCGGCATGGGTGCGCATGCCTGTAGTCCCAGCTACTCGGGAGGCTGAGGCAGTAGGATCGCTGAGCCCAGGAGATTGAGGTTGCTGTGAGCCAGGCTGACACCACGGCACTCACTCTAGCCTGGGCAATAAAGTGAGACTCTGTCTCAAAAAAAAAAAAAAAAAAAAAAAAAAGAAACAAAGTAACAAGTGTTAGCAGGATGTGGAGAAGTTGGAATCCTTTTGCACTGCTAGTGGAAATCTAAATTGTGCAATGGCTGTGGAAAACTCTTTAATGGTTCTTCAAAAAGTTAAATTACCACGATTTCAGAAATTCTGTTTCTACGAATGTAGCCAAAAGAACTAAAAGCAAGGACTCAAACAGATATTTGTACATCAATGCTCACAGTAGCATTACTTACAACAGACAAAAAGTGGAAACAATCCAAATATCCATCAACAGATGAATAAACAAAATGTCACACATATATACATGTACCTATATATATGTATACAAATATGTGTGTATATATATGTATGTGTATTTTACATATACAATGGAATATCATTCTGCCATAAAAAGGAATAAATTCTTTTTTTTAAAGTAAAATTAAGTTGGCAGATTTTGCTATAATTGTTTAAGAAAGGAAAAAAGTATTATAAACACAAAAAACTCATCCATCCCAGATGGGACACGAACCCACAATCCCTGGCTTGGGAGCCCAATGCCTTATCCATTAGGTGACCGGAGCTTCTGTGAACGACATGCTTTAACAACATATTCAATTTTTTTCTTCCTTGGCACATCATCATCCCTTAAGTTTCTTTTTACTCTATCCTGGGAAACCACAAGTAGCACACCACGATGAGGAGCGTGGCATACTAGAGTTGTAGTTCAGAGAACAAAAGCCTACATTACAGCTCCAAAGGCTTTATCCTCCGAACAGCACTGAAACTCCGGGTGCAGCATGGGCGCATGCAGGCTCTAAAAGGAATAAATTCTGATACATGCTACAAGATGGATGAACTTTGAAAACATTATAAGTGAAATAAATCAGAACAAAAGACAAATATTGTATGATCTCATTTATATGAAGTAGCTACAGTAGACAAATTCATAGAGATAGAAGAATTGAGGGTAAGGGGAACTGGGGAAAGGGAGTCTGGGGAGTTATTATTTAATGGGTTCAGAGTTCTTATTTGGGATGATGAAAAGTTCTGGAAATAGATAGTGGTGATGGCTAACACTGTGAATGTACTTAACACCATTAAATTTACATTGAAAAATGATTAAAATGGTAAATAAACAAAAATTTTAAAAGAAAAAACAAAAACATGAAGAACAATCTTACTATTAATCAAAGACAGTAAATGGGAATAAAAAATGTTCAAAGGACTATTTTCTGTGTCTGTGCTTTTTTTTTTTAATATTAAAAGGTTTATTTCAGTACCATTGTAAGGAAACAATCCTCAACAAGTCAGCAAACCAAGGAAAGGAAATGGACAGACACAATCATTCTTCCTATAGCTTCCTGAGTCAGCAGGCTGGCTTGTGGCCCCCCTTGGTGGCAAGATCTTAAGGAAGCCTATCATGCTTATCTGTTAAACTGTGGGAACAAACACTTCATGTAACAGTCATTCTTAGGTCAAACATAAGAACAAACTACTTTGAAATCACAATTTATCACACGTTCTCTGAATACACAGTACTGTGCTTGCTACTTATACTTCTATAGAAAATAATGCATTTTTTAGTTTGTTAGACCTTGTAAAGACCCTTTTAGAAATGAGTTATTCAAATGTCCAGACATTCTTTTTTAAAAAAAACCTAACAAGTTTAATCTCAGAGGCTACTGATATGATAAACTATGTGCTTATTAATGGAGCCATGAATACTGAGTGTAATTACTTGACCATTTCTGGCATTAAAACAACCTCCCAGAATATTAAGCACACCCCAAAACTGAAGGCATCTTGTTTCTGACTTTGTACAATATCAAAGCTTCATAATGCTAAAGAAAACCCAAACAAAAGAGAATAGTTTGTATAGGAAAATAAGAAAATAACCCAAGGGCAAAAGGAAAATGATGATTACTACTGAAAAGGAGTAATAGCATCCTTCCTAAAAGGGGAAGGGGGATCATAGGAGGAAATATGTTTTTCATACAATGTTTTCAACGTTTTGCTGCTTTTTCTATAAATAATTTCTAGTACTCTTCTTTCAGATTAGCCACTGGGACAGAAATTATACCTGTATTTTAAAATTTATTGAGAAATTATTACTGTTAACTTTTTCTCCACAACTGTGATTCTATATAAGATGTAAACCCTGCATAACTTATGTAATACTTGACAGATAAATACAGTAGGACCAAGACACTTAAAGCAGATAATACACATTTGAGACGATTTCTACAAAGTCCAGGAAAAGCAATGACTCCACTGTGCAGTGTCAATGCATGTGACAACCAGCATGTTATCATTCAGCTCTGGCTGCAGCCCTGCTGTCTACAGAGGCCCAATTAGTTTTCAGGGAATCACAAATTAGGCAGGCAATGAAGCAGAAAAATAATCCATCTGCTTTGCTAATATATAAATTTACTAAAAAGCATATTTCAATGATATAATCTCTTATAACCCGATTGTAAATGTAACTAAAATTAATATTGTTACACTTATTCCAAGAAATTAAGTTAGGAGGTGGCATTACATTTGTATTTATACAGTACTACTTTCCTTCTATCAAATGCTATATTTGATCTCAATATTTTAATAATTAAGATGTATTTTTTAACAAGTAAAACTGACTAATGAAAAGAATATCATTTGAGAGTATCAGTTGAAGTATGCTATGAACACTTAAACAAATTATTTTGTATCCCACTGTAATTTTTTTCATTTAAGTAGACTTTTTCATGTAAATTTATTGTCCACTTAAATAACATTACAGTAGTATTGGATCTCCTCTATATACACCAAGAAAAAATTTACCAAGCCACTTCCTAGCACATAAAGAATCTTTCTTGCCATGTCTTTGGAACCTAGCAAAAAATGTCACACAGACATTTCTATCTCCCTTTTTGTGATTGTGACCGGAAAATATAAAAAGGTTTTACCAATGTGACAAGATTTTATTTTTATTTCTTATATAACTCTGGAAGCATAGTTTCCATGATCCCATAAATAACTTTTCTTTTCAGTTTTCCAGAAGTGATGTGTTTCCATATTTAAGAATTAAATGTTCTACAAATATTATTAGATAAGACCAACTCTCCACATATTTTATTGTATGGCTTAGTATCAGATTTAATTATTAGTTTTCCCAAATATAACTGTTTTGTGTAGATGTTCATGCTCTGGAATAGATCTTGTTTTCTATTAAAATTTTAAATGTTTATGAGCATTTTATTTTTAAATACTCTTATAAAAATTAGCTTATTAATTTTCTTCTGAAAACAAATCCTTTATCTACAGGAAGACTGTTTTATTGTAACTCTGGCTTGTATGTATATATGGAAAGACAGTAGGAAAGTCAAAAGTATCAAAATTGCTGTTGAAACATATTATTTAATTATGCTTCTGTTCTTAGAGGTATAACTTCCCATGTAAAGAGAAGAGAATGCCACTTCTCTACACTGGATTTAGTTTAGATTTTGATAAAATGTGATGTTACTCTCAGGAATTATATATGCTTTCAATGCTTTGAATACTAGAAGGACCAAAATATACTATATAATTTCAATTTAACTAAAAAAAATTAATAAAAATCAGATTAACTAATAAAAAAACCAAGAAAAATACAAGAAGCAAAATAATAGGCAACAAAAAAAGTTTAGCTTAGATTCGCTTTACTGAAATATTCAGAAGAATAATTCCGAAAGTGAAAAAGAATGCTCCTTTATCCTTCAACTATGAAAATATCAATTTGCCCCTAAGAATAACAATCATGTACACATTAACCAGTTCTCTTATATAACTAACATTGTTTGATGACTTTAATTCTTCTAGACTTTTAAGAAAAGCAGAACAATCAAGCATCTTAATATGCTTAAGCATCAAGTATCTTAATAAGTAAAATATATGATATTTAGAAAACTATAATTATTACTCCATTGCTCCTGACCCTAGGAAGCTTACCCTGGTAATTTTTTAAATTATCGTGGTAATTTTTTTAATTTAAATGATGTTTTAAAGACAAAAAGAAACAATAAATACTCCCTTACCTTGTAAGATGGCAAGAAACACAAAATTCCTTGGCTCACAGTCTGGCACACAGATAATAAAAGTGCTCCCACCTCATCTTGGAACTCAAATGTTTCAGTATGCTGGAAGGTAGCACAGAGATTCCGACCCTTGGGGCCTGACCCAATGGTACCAACCCAAACCTAGAGTATAAATGTGTCAGTATTAAAGTTATGCTTAAACAAGGAAAAAAATTAATATTTAGTTGGAAGTATTTATATATTTGTAAAAAAATCAAGCAACAAGTTTAACATTTACTTTGAAATTGGCTTTTTCCTATTACTTTTAATTAATTATATATAGATTTAAATTATAAAAGTTTTGCTTTCGGCAGGTAACTGAATTCTCTTAGAATGAAAGTTCTTTAAAAGCAAAAAGGGTTGTACTTATCTCTGTCCTCAATAGCTTTGCAAAATTAAGCATGTAACAATGTTTTGAAATGGGGAGGGAGGGACAAAGAAGCAAATATTGCAAAATATTAACAACTGATGATTCTAGGTGAAGGATATAGACATTCCTACATTAATATTGTTTTATCACTCGGTGGGGTGTCTCACACCTGTAATACCAGCACTCTAGAGAGGCTGAGGTGGGAGGATTGCTTGCAGCCAAAAGTTTGAGATGAGTCTGGGCAACATAGCGAAACCCTACCTCTACAAAAAGTTAAAGAAAAATAAGCTGGGCATGGTGGCACGCACCTGTAACCCCAGCTACACAGAAGGCTGAGGCAGAAAGATCACTTGAGCCTAGGAATTTGAGGTTACAGTGAGCTACAGTCACGCAACTGTACTTTAGCCCTGGTGACAGAGACCCTGTCTTAACAACAATAAAAAATTTTTTTCAATTTTTCTGAAATTTATAATTTTTCAAAATAGGGTGGAGGGAATCAATAAGTGAATGGATAATCGAATGTGGCACTGCATGGAAAAAAATTATTTTTCCTCTGCTCTCACACCACAACAATCAACACAGAAGATTTCTGTGATAAAGTGTGTGGAGGTTTTTCCCTATATACCAAGCAAGTAAGCAATTCTGTAGCAGACACCAAATGGGTGTCCTCTAATTCAATTCTCTTTTTTTTCTTTCAGTGAAGCTATCCTTCAAAAATAATTCAGTTCAATTCTGACATTATATACCTGGGGATAGCTTCAGATCCCACAGGTTGAAGGCTCAGTCCCCAAGACTGTCCCCTCTTCTCATGACAATCTCAAGCCCCAAGTTGTTTTACCTGTGCTTCTAACCGACCAGTTATAAAATCAGGGATCCCACAAACCCTTCCTTGGGTTTAATTTGCTAGAGGGGCTCACAGAACTCAGGAAAACACTTACTAGTTTATTATTAATATAAAGAATATGACAAGGGATACAGATGAAGAGATGCATAGGGCAAGGAATATGGGAAGAGAGGAACCTCCAAGTATTCAGCTATCCAGAAGTTCTCTGAACCCTGTCCTTTTATGTTTTTATGGAAGCTTCATTATGGAGGCATGATTGATTAAAACACTGGCTACTGAGATCAATATAATCTTCAGCGGAAAGTCCCAACCCTCTAATTAAGTCTTGGTCTTTCTTGGAGACCAGCCCCCATCTTGAAACTACCTAAGGGCTCCCTGCCATCAGTCATCTCATTAGCATACAAAAAGATCAATTTAGAGATTCTAAAGATTTTACAAGTTGTATGCCAAGAAAAGGGCTAGACTACCAAATAAATATTTTATAATATCTGGGGCATATAGACACAAGGAATATTATTCAGCCTTAAAAAGGATATTCTGATACATACTACCACATGGATGAAAGGTAAGGACATTATCTACAACATGGACAAACTTTGAGAATATGATGCTAAGTAAAATAAGTCAGTCACAAAAAAGACAAATACCTTATGATTCCATGTATATGAAGTATCTAGAATAGTCAAATTCACAGAAACAGAAAATAGAATGATAATTACAAGGGGTTAGGGAAAGGGGAGAATGAAGAGTTGTTTAATTGGAACACAGTTGTAATTTCACAAGGGGAAAAAGTTTTTGAGACTGGTTACACAACAATATGTATGTACCTAACAAGACTGACCTATACACTTAAAAATAGTTAAGATGGTAAATTTTATGTTATGTATATTTTAACACAATTAAAATTAAAAATAATTTTTTTAAATTTTGGGGAAAATATAGTGTAACAACATACACCTGCAAAACTAGAATTATTATAATTCAATGACATTATGGGTTAAATGGACTTTTGTGCACAGGTTAAGAACATAATTAAAGCCTATAACAATATTCTTTTGACAAATACATGCTGAATTTACCAACTTCTTATGTTTATTTGTGCCCCTAAAGAAAGCAACTTGAAAATATGGAACATATATTCTTCCCTCACTGCTGCTCACAGTCATGTTTCTCAACAGGAATATTCTGTCATTTTGGAAAATAAAATGCTTATTTATATACGAGGTTGGCATTCTGGGCTCCCAACTACTAAATGGCAGTAGTTGCTCCCAGGTAATTGTGAGAACCAAAAAAGAAGCCAACAGAAGGCAGAATCAAAAACAACAATCTAAACATCTAGGAAAATTAAAATAACAATAAGGCATTGTTATAAAAAACTAAAATCTTAAATCATAGGAGTCATAAGTACTTTTAATTCATTTCAGATATTCAAAGATGTGAACACTTGCTAAATGCCAGGTATTAATCTAGGTACAGAGGAAGAATGGGGATGTAAAATGAATAGGATCTACAATAGTCTAATGAAAAAGAGAAATACATAAATAATTATACAATAGAAACTAAAGAAGTAAAAATTTTCTTTTGTTAATTTTCATTAAAAAACTAAAAATTATTTAAATGAAGAAATTACAAAATAGTCTTTTTATCCAAAATGAGTGGATTGAAGGATACTATATATTAGTATTCCCTTTTGTCGACACTATTAAGTAGCTGACATTTTCTTTTATTCTAAAACTGAAATGTTCAATTTCCTATAAATTTGTTTGCTTGCATTTCAGGTACCTTCTAAATTTGTTTACATAGGATTACATTAAAAAAAAAAAAAACTAACCTGTGAGTTTTTAATGACATGATTAGCCTCCAGCTGGATAGTAAATGTAACACCGAGTTCTGATGAAAAGGATTTCATTGGTGATAATGTGCCAGATGTCAAAACAATAGTCCGAACTTTGCCATTAATATCTGAAAAGGCCTAAAAGGAAACATTACATACATAAAATCTTTAAAAGAATCAATCATACTCATTTAAATGTTGGTACTGAACAGAAAGACAAAATTTTCCTTTATAACATAATGAGCTTACCACAGCTGGATTTAAGCACCAAAAGTTTAGCACATGAACTGCAGTTTTCTGTCGTGAACGTTTCTTATTTTTTGGTAGAGCAAAGAACCCATTTTTATCTGAAATATCAGTTTGAGTTATCCAGGAGTAAGTTTGTTGAATAGCAACTTTATAATCATCTGCAAATCTAGATGCAAAGAAAATGCTAATTAAGTGGCAAAATTGTATGAAACATAATAACCTACCTGCATACAATATAGAAACTGATTATATTAAAACTCAGTTGACAGTGGTGGTACCGTCCCACTCAAAGATAACATCTTCCCCACCACTAATTAAATTCGGTAATTCCGATATAAATCAAAGCCATTAAATCATAGAATCAACTGATTGTTACAGGAATTAGAAATCATCTAACCATCTATCCCTCACTAGCCACTTTCCAACCCCATTTTCAAACATCATATAAATCTTGGCAGAACCAGAATTAAAATCTAGGGCTCCTAACTCCCAGTCCAGAGATTTTTGCATTCTGTACTATATAATTAGTTACAAAATAGAAAACAGTATTATGTTTGAAGAAACTAGAAGGTGAGTTATACTTTATTACACGAGAAAATAGATAACTTTTACTGAAAGTTTTAAAAGTTTTAGCAACTAATTATAAAATCTTTAAGTTCCTTTAAAATCTGAGTCTCAATCTTCATCCACTTTTAATGAAACTACTGAAATGACGGTATCCGTGATCCCATTTAGTTTATAACTTCTTTCAATCAGAGTCTATAAAATGCCTAGGCTTAAAAAAATTAAAATGTGGTATTTTCTACCATATATTCACTATACTATTTCACTGTTAATTTCACCCCTAGAGAGATTACATGTCAAAGTTAAAATCAGGAACCCAACGATGGAGAGAATTTTATAAAAATACTGAAGCCAAAAACTATAAAGCTCTTAAAAGAAAACAAAGGAGAAAGCTTCATGACATCAGAATTGGCCATGATTTCTTGAATATGACTCTAAAAATATAGGCAACAAAAGAAAAAATTTTAAACTCTTTTCTGCATCAAAGGACACTATGAAGAAGAGAAAAGACAATTCATACAATGGGAGAAAATACTTGTAAAACATATCTGATACAATAATATTCAAAATATATGAAGACTACTATTAATACAATTCTGTTCCCAACACAAAGAAATGTTAAATGCCTGAGGTAATGGATAGCCAAATTACCCAGATTGATTAATTCTGTGTATACCTGTATCAAATCATGTGTACCCTAAAAATATACAACTATTATGTACTCATAATAACTTTTTTTAAAAACTACTATAACTCAACAACAGAAAAACAAACAATGCAATTCAAAAGTGGGTAAGAGACTTTAAAGAGTTATTTCTTTGGAAAAGATATACAATTGGCCAATAAACACATGAAAAGGTTCTTAATATCTCTGGTTATCAGAGAAATACAAATCAAAACCACAAGGAGTTATCACTTGATACCCATTAGGATGGCTATTACACAAAAACCAAAAAATAACAAGTGTTAGCAAGGATGTGGAGAAATTAGAACCCTCATGCACTGCTAAAGGGAATGTAAATGGCACAGTTGCTGCAGAAAACAGAATGGAAGTTCCTCAGAAAGTTAAATGTAGGATTACCATGTGACCCTGCAATTTCTACTGTTAGGTATATATATACACTGAGAAGAATGGAAAGCAGGACTCAAACTGGTATTTGAACACCAATGTTCATAAGTAGCACTATTCATAATAGCCAAAAAGTGGACATGACCCAAATGTCCATCAACATAAGAATGGATTAACAAATGTAGTATATACATTACAGTGGAATATTATTCAGCCATAAAAAGGAATGAAATTTTGATGTATGTTACTACATGAATGAACTCTGAAAATGTTGCGTTTACGTGAATTGAAACACACCAGACACAAAAGGATAAATACTATGACTGGTCTTATATGAGATACCCAAAGGGCAGTTTTGTAAGATGAAAGCAGAATAGAGGTTACCAAGGGAGTAGGGGAGGGAGTCTAGGAAGTTTTTATTTCATGGGTGCAGAATTCCTGCCTAGAATGATGAAAAATTTCTAGAAATTTCTGGAAATGGATACAATGCATGACATTGTGAATTTTATGCTGTTCTTAATGGTACTGAATTGTTTACTTAAAAATGGTAAAAATAGGCCGGGCGCTGTGGCTCAGGCCTGTAATCCTAGCTCTTGGGAGGCCGAGGCAGGCAGATTGCTCAAGGTCAGGAGTTCAAAACCAGCCTGAGCAAGAGCGAGACCCCGTCTCTACTATAAATAGAAAGAAATTAATTGCCAACTGTATATATATAAAAATTAGCCGGCATGGTAGCGCATGCCGTAGTCCCAGCTACTCGGAGGCTGAGGCAGAAGGATCACTGGAGCCCAGGAGTTTGAGGTTGCTGTGAGCTAGGCTGACGCCACGGCACTCACTCTAGCCTGGACAACAAAGCGAGACTCTGTCTCAAAAAAAAAAAAAAAAAAAAAAATGGTAAAATGGTATATGTTATATATATTTTACCACAATAAAAAAAAAAAAACACACAAAGCCAGGCGCAGTGGCTCACGCCTGTAATCCTAGCACTCTGGGAGGCCGAGGCGGGCAGATCACTCAAGGTCAGGAGTTGGGAACCAGCCTGAAAAAAAGCGAGACCACATCTCTACTAAAAATAGAAAGAAATTAATTGGCCAACTAAATATATACAGAAAAAATTAGCCGAGCGTGGTGGTGCATGCCTGTAGTCCCAGCTACTCGGGAGGCTGAGGCAGAAGGATTGCTTGAGCCCAGGAGTTTGAGGTTGCTGTAAGCTAGGCTGAATCCATGGCACTCTAGCCCAGGGAAGAGAGTGAGACTCTGTCTCCAAACCAAAACACACACGCGCGCACACACACACACACACGCGCACGCGCACACACACACACACACACACACACACACACACATACTGGAACTAGGTAGTACTATGTAACTTAACAGAGTATAGAATGGGAGGGGTTTGTTGCTTTTTATTTTCTACAATTCATATAACATAGGAAAGAGACTTTCTGACACTGACAGAAACATCTAAACAATACTTTAAAAAAAAACTTAACTATTTAAGCATTAATTTAGTCATGAATTAAATATATTTATTTACTGATTTTAATATTCACTTTCATTAGTAACAAAAACTAATTTCAATTACTCTAACTCTGTGCCAATAAGAGCAAATACATAATATCTACAATACTTGCTTACAATGTTCCTATTTACTCAACCCAAATAGGTATAAACTAAGTATGTGCTAGCACCCTATTAAGTCTAATACTTTTGACAAGACCAGACCAGATATCTTCACTTACCTGCCATTTTCCCTAAAAAGATAGTCAAGTACCATAAAAAGTCCTTTGAGCATTATTTGAGTTGAAGCACTAATAATAGGTACTTCTCTTGTCTCTTCTTTACCATGAATTGGTAAGATTTTTTCTTCTTTTTGAAGAACAGCAGAAAAGTGTCCCTATAAGAAATTATCATATTAAGTATGAGGGCATGAGAGAGGATGGGGAGAAGAAACTTCTCAAAAGTATAATTAAACCCAAATGAAATATTCATTGACATTTTAGCTGAACGTTATTGTTAGTTTGGTTTAACCCCTACAAATCTCATGTTGAAATCTGATCCCCAGTATTGGAGGTGGGAGCCCAGTGGGAGGTGTTTGCGTCATGGGAGCAGATCCCTCATGAATAGGTAATACCCTCCCTATAGGGAGGTAGGGTGAGTGAGTTTTCACTCTGTTAGTTCCCACAGAGCTGGTTGTTTAAAAAAGCCTGGCAACTCCTTCGCTTCTCTTGCTTCATCTCTCGCCATGCGATCTCTGCACAGGAGGCTCCCCTCCTTCACCTTCTGCCATGAGTGGAAGTAGCCTGAGGCCCTTACCAGAAGCGGATGCTGGCACCATGCTTCTCATACAGCCTGCAGAACCATGGGCCAAATAAACCTCTTTTTCGAAAACCACAATTCATAAAAGGAAAAACACTGATAAATCTGAATGCACATAAAATAAAAAATTTTTGAAAAAGTACACCATAAATAAATAGTCAAACCACAGACACAAGGCTGGGTGCAGTGGCTCATGCCTGTAATCCCAGCACTTTGGGAGGCTAAAGAGGGAGAATCTCTTCAGGTCAAGAGTTTAAGACCAACCTGGGAAACACAGTGAGACCATGTCTCTAAAAAAACAAAAATTTAAAAATTAGCCAGGCATGGTGGCACATGCCTATAGCTCAGCTACTTAGAAGGCTGAGGCAGAAGCACCCAGGAGTTCAAGGTTGCAGTGAGCTATGATCATTCTAGCCTGGGGAACAGAAGAAGACCCTGTCTGAAAAACAAAACAAACAAACAAAAACATGGATGCAAGAAAGTATATGGAATACAATAACCAACAAAGGATTAGCATTTAGTATTTAGAATACACAAAGGAAATAATCTGAGATAAATACAAAGAAATATTTGCAAAGATGTTCCTATCAGAACTGTTTGTTATGTTGGGGAAAGTGGTAACAACCTACATCTCAATTTATCAGATTAATCAAATAATTTAGAATATATACACTCACAAAATGCTACACTGCAACTAAAAATCATGTGGAAGAATATTTAAACATAAAAGTATTCATAATAGGTTGTTAATGAAAATAGGCTACAAAGAAACATGCATAATATTAGAAATATTTATAAGCAAATACAAGCAAAGAAGGCAGCATAGGTAGACATAAATCAAAATGTTCATAATGATCATCTTTGAGTTTATGAATCAATTTTCTTTGAGCCTTTCTGTATTTTCCAAGTTTTTTCCTTTGACATACATTTTACTTATACATATTTTATTGACATATAATATATAAAGTAGAATTTACTAATCTTAAGGGAGTAGCTCACTAAACACACACCAACATAACTAACACCCAATAAGGATACAAAACATTCCTAAAATTCCACATGTTCCCTTATGCCCCTTCTCAGCACAAATTACCCCTATTCCCCCATAGTCATAACCAGTATTTCAACTTCCATCACCATAATTAGGTTTGTCTGTTGTTAAACTTCATAAAAAGAAATCATACAAGGCTGGGCGTGGTAGCTCATGCTTGTAATCCTAGCACTCTGGGAGGCTGAGGCGCGAAGATTATTTAAGCTCAGGAGTTTAAGACCAGCCTGACCAGGAGTGAGACCCTATCTCTACTTAAAAAAAAAAAAGGAAAGAAATTAGCCAGACAACTAAAAAAAAAAAAAATATATATAATATAGATATATATATATAAATTAGCCAGCATGGTGGTGCATGCCGTTAGTCCAGCTACGCAGGAGGCTGAGGCGGTAGGATTGCTTGAGCCCAGGAGTTTGAGGTTGCTGTGAGCTAGGCTGATGCCATGGCACTCTAGCCTGAGCAACAGAGTGAGACTCTGTCTCAAAAAAAAAAGAAATCATACAGATTATAGTTTTTTTAATCTGGTTTTCTTCTCTATATGGTTGTGGTGGAAGTTCATTTTTTTTTTTTTTTTTTTTTGAGACAGAGTCTCACTTTGTTGCCCAGGCTAGAGTGAGTGCCGTGCGTCAGCCTGGCCACAGCAACCTCAATCTCCGGCTCAGCGATCCTACTGCCTCAGCCTCCCGAGTAGCTGGGACTACAGGCATGCGCCACCATGCCCGGCTAATTTTTTGTATATATATTTTTAGCTGGTCAATTAATTTATTTCTATTTTTGGTAGAGACAGGGTCTCGCTCAGGCTGGTTTCGAACTCCTGACCTCGAGCAATCCACCTGCCTCGGCCTCCCAAAGTGCTAGGATTACAGGCGTGAGCCACCGCGCCCGGCCGGAAGTTCATTTTTTAAATTGCTGTGTAGTATTCTACTTACGAATGCTACAATTTATCTATTTTACTATAAATATGAATAACTTTCAAAGTACAAAAATTTTTGAAAAAATATTATGAAAAGATGTCATAATGTGGAAAAATTCTTATGATACATACCACATTGCATTTTACAAATGCAATACAAAAATTTTATGTATAGCTTGATTAAAATATATTTTTTAATAGTCACATGCCCAGAATGGTAGTGGTGATAATCATGCTGGTAATAGTTTTATCTTTTTTACTTCAAAATCCTCTTTGAGAAATGACATCAGCATAGTAATAGAACGAGTCTTCTACTGTCATCTCCCCACATTGCATCAATTTTCATAACCACTTATGGATGAGAGTACCTTTGTGAGAGTCTGGGATTACAGTAGAGATTGGAACAAAAAATCTGAGAATAGATGCATTGAAGAGGGTAAAAAGAATAGTTTTATATTAGCCAAATCACCCCTACTCTAAGAAGTACAGCTCAATGCCAAGAGAGATTCCCTCAGCTCACAATTCCTCTCAAAGGGGGAAAGTGAGAGCATAGTGAGTGATGAATGAAATAAGGAAAGCATGTAGCACTCCGGGAGGCCGAGGCAGGAGGATCGCTCAAGGTCAGGAGTTCAAAACCAGCCTGAGAAAGAGTAAGACCCCGTGTCTACTAAAAGAGAAAGAAATTAATTGGCCAACTAAAAATATATAGAAAAATTACCCGGGCATGGTGGTGCAAACCTGTAGTCCCAGCTACTCGGGAGGCTGAGGCCACAGTACTCTAGCCCAAGCAACAGAGTGAGACTGTCTCAAAAAAAAGAAAAAAGAAAAGAAAAGAAAAAGAAAAAGAAAATGTGGTGTGCGCGCACACACACATATTAAATGGAATATTATTCAGCCTTAAAAAAGAAGAAAATCCTGCCTTTTGTGACCACATGGATGAAACTGGAAGACATTATGCTAAGTGAAATAAGCTTGGCTGAAAGAAAAATATTGCATGCTACCACTTACATGTGTAATCTAAAAAAGTTTTTATTTGGTGATCATACCTCTATAGTGCCGGGGCAAAAAAAACTCTTTAAATCTATATGAGGCAAACTACAAAATGCTGATAAAAGAAATCAAATACCTAAATAAACGGAGAGATATTTGATGTTCATGGATAGGAAGACTCAGTAAGATGTCAGTTTTTCCCAATGGTGATTTATAGATTCGATGCAATCTCAATCAAAATCCCAACAAGTTACTTTGTGTATATCGATAAGCTGATTCTAAAGTTTATATGAATAAGCAAAAACCCCAGAATAGCCAACACGATACTGAAGAAGATTAATGAGAGGACTGACACTATCCAACTTTAAGATATACTATAAAGCTACAGTTAATCAAGACCATGTAGTATTGGTGAAAGGACAAAAAACAGATGAGTTGAACAAAATAGAGAGCCCAGAAATATACTCACACAAATATCAACTGATCTCTGACAAAGGAAAAAAACAATAGAGAAATGATAGTCTTTTCAACAAATAGAAATAGAATAATGGCACCATGCAAAAATATTACTCTAGACATAGATCTTACACTTTCCACAAAAATTAAGTCAAAATGAATCATAAATCTAAATGTAAAACACAAAACTATAAAACTTCCAGAAGATTGGAGAAAATATAAAAACTTCTGCTCTGGAAAAGACACTGTTAACTGAATGAAAAGACAAGTCACAGACTGAGAGGATATATCTGCAAACACCTTTCTGATGAAGGACTTGTATTCAAAATATACAAAGAACTTTTAAAACTGAACAATAAAAAAACAAATAGTCCAACTGCAAAGTAGGCAAAAGATCTGAACACGCATCTCACTGGAAAGATACATAGTTGGCAAATAAGCATATGAAAAGATGCTCAACATCATGTCTTTGGGGAATTATAAATTAAAATAAGATATCCCCTATATGAATGGCTAAAATTCAAAACACTGACAACACCAAATATTGGCAAAGATGTGGAACAACAGGAACTCTTATTACTGATGGGAATGCAAAATGGTACAGCCACTTTTTAAATTTTTTCTTAAGAGATGGAGTCTCGCTATGTTGCCCAGGCTGGAGTGTGGTGGCTATTCACAGGCATCCAATCATAGTGCACTACAGCCTCAAACCAATGGGCTCAAGTGATCCTCCTGCCTCAGCCTCCCAAGTAGCTAGGAGTACAGTCCCACACTACCACACCTGGCTGGTACAGCTACTTCTGAAGTCAGTCTAGCAATTTCTTGTAAACCTAAACATAGTCTTATGATATAAACCAACAATTGTGTTCCTAAGTATTTATCCAAATGAGTAGAAAGCATGTCCACAAAAAAACACAAATACAAATGATTATAGCAGCTTTATTTCATAATTATCAAAAATTATAAACTACCAATATGTCTTTCAGTAGGTAAATGGATAAACTGTGGTACATCAGACAATGGAATATCATTCAATGATATAAAGAAATGAGCTATCAAGCCCCCAAAAGACATTAAAGAACTTAAATGCATATTGCTAAATGAAAGGCACCAGTCTGAAAAGACTACATACTGCATGATTCTAACTATAAGGAATTCTTGAAAGGGCAAAATTATAGTCAGTAAAAAGGTTAGTGGTTGCCAAGGGTTTGGCAGGGATGGGATATGGTGTGGTAGAGAGATGAATAGGTACAGTGGAGAAAATTTTTAGGACAGTGAATGTATTCTGTACTATACTGTAATGGTGGATTACTAGGCAAAAGCTAGTAGAACTGTACAATACAAACAGTGGACTATAAGGTAAATTATGGACTTTAACAATAATGTATCAATATTAGTTCATCAATTATAATAAATATACTATACTTTTGCAAGATATCAATAATAGGGGAAACTGTGGGGGTGTATGTGTGTGGCTAGTGGTGAAAGTATGAGAATTCTGCACTTTCTGCTCAACTTTTCTCTAAAACTAGAAAAAACACACTAAAAAATATAGTCTATTAATTTAGTCTATTTAGTCTAAATATAGTCTAAATATAGTCTATTTATTTAATAGGAACAAAAAAGAAAATATACTCCTATCTACAAAAAACTACTCTTAAACATATAATGAAAGTTATGCAGCCTCTATCTAGAAAAAGCATATACTCATAAAATTTTGTATACAACTTCATAACTTTCATAGTCTCCCAAAGCCCACTCATGATCTCCATCAATGAAGCTAGCTTTATAATATCTAAGTTACAGAAAACAAAACATGAATTTCTTCTCTTTTTATTTTCTAAGATTTTAACTTTTATAATTGACAAAATAAGTTGACAACCTCAAAATACTGACTCCTCCTAGTTTGAACAAAGCAATTAATCCCTTTAAAGGCTTATTTCCTTCAAACCAAATAATGCTATATTTCCAACCATAATTTACCGATTCCATCACTTAAAGATTATCAAATTTAGATAAAATTTAAAAATAATTAAATTACTTTATTTGAAAATTCTGGATTATTCACCAGATTTACTCTGAATTTATTCACTAATATAACACTTCTAATTCACTAAATAAATTTCAGATGGAAAAAAAATCTTACCTGCAAAATGGGGAAAGTAGCAGTGGTAATGCCCATTTTGTGTAAATTTAAAAGCATTTCATTTCCACTCCATATTTTGCAAGAGGATTCATAATCCCTTTCCACAAGATGTTCAGAATTTGCTTCTAACCAACTGGAATAAAATAAAACAATTTTGTCAACCAGTATCATCCTTATGTGCATTATTTCAACAGAAGAGAATTATCACTGTTGTCATGGATTGATATGTATTCCCTGAAGCTCTTAGGACATAGACGTGGATTCATTAAGACACCTTTTAAAAATAATGTATGTCTTATATTACAAAATAAACATTTATATAGCTAAAAAGTAAACTTTAGTGTTACTTTATTATGCCATTAAAAATAATGTTAGAGGCCGGGCGCGGTGGCTTACGCCTGTAATCCTAGCTCTCTGGGAGGCCGAGGCGGGCGGATTGCTCGAGGTCAGGAGTTCAAAACCAGCCTGAGCAAGAGCGAGACCCCGTCTCTACTATAAATAGAAAGAAACTAATTGGCCAACTGATATATATAGAAAAAATTAGCCGGGCATGGTGGCGCATGCCTGTAGTCCCAGCTACTTGGGAGGCTGAGACAGTAGGATCACTTGAGCCCAGGAGTCTGAGGTTGCTGTGAGCTAGGCTGACGCCACGGCACTCACTCTAGCCTAGGCAACAAAGTGAGACTCTGTCTCAAAAAAAAATAAATAAATTAAAAAAAAAAAAATAATGAGAACAGAGCAAATTTTTCCCAGGCATTGAGGATTACTAACAATCTAGCCACAAGAAAGCTATTTTCTTTTTCTTACCACTATACTAACAAGGATAAACATATTTATAAAACTAGATTCACTTTTGTTTACTTCGCCTATTTTATTAAAAAATCATATCAGGAAAATCTGCTCATATCACTATTTTTTATTGCTGCTCAGATATGTACACTGAATTAATGTGCCATAGTTGATGAGTGGTTTCCTTATTACTGGCATTTAGACTATTACCAATTTCTGCTTTATAAATAATACTGCAGTGAACATTCTTATGCCCATTTCTAAACATCTTCTTAGTGTACAGTTTTAGAAATAGCATTATGGGGTCCAAAACTATGAAGTACTTTCAAGCTTCTTGAAAACATACCACCAAATTATTCTCCAGAAAATATATACCATTTTGCATTACCCTTTTCCGATATCATTATCAACACTAACATTATTTTTCATTGTCTTTGTCTTTTTAAAAGGTGAAAAATAGAATCTTGTTTTGATTTGTATATTTTAGAGTTTCTAGCAAGGTTTAAAATAATATTGTAAAAATTCTAACAAGGTTTAACAAAAATTTGTATTTCACCTTTTGTTATCTACTAATGTCCTTTTCCATTCTATTATTAAAAATAAAAAATTTCATTACATGCATTAATAAAAAAATAAGATGTTAGGCCAGGCATAGTGACTCACACCTATAATTCTAGAATTTTGGAAGGCCAATACGGGAGGAATTCTTGCAGACAGGGGTTCGAGACCAGCCTGAGCAAGAGTGAGACCTCCGTCTCTACAAAAAAAAGAAAAATCAGCCAGGTGTAGTGACACATTCCTGTAGTCCCAGCTACTTGGGAAGCTGAGGCAGGAGATTTGCTTGAGCTTGGGAGTTTGAAGTTGCAGTGAACTATAATGATGCCACTGCACTCCTGCCTGGGTGACAGAGTGAGACATTGTCTCCAAAAAAAAATTTTTTGATAAAACCCAGTCCTAGCAAGAGTGTCTCATATACTATTAAAAATATACAAAATTAGTGGAAGTATAAAATGCACACTTTTCGGCCGGGCGCTGTGGCTCACGCCTGTAATCCTAGCTCTTGGGAGGCCGAGGCGGGCGGATTGCTCAAGGTCAGGAGTTCAATACCAGCCTGAGCAAGAGCGAGACCCCGTCTCTACTATAAATAGAAAGAAATTAATGAGACCCCAGAGTCTCGCTTTGTTGCCTAGGCTAGAATGAGTGCCGTGGGGTCCAGCCTTGCCACAGCAACCTTCAAACTCCTGGCTCAGCAATCCTTCTGCCTCAGCCTCCAAGTGGCTGGACTACAGGCATGCGCCACCATGCCCGGCTAATTTTTTCTATATATATTATTTGGCCATCAATTTCTTTCTATTTATAGTAGAGACGGGGTCTCGCTCTTGCTCAGGCTGGTTTTGAACTCTGACTGAGCAATCCGCCGCCTCGGCCTCCAGAGAGCTAGGATTACAGGCGTAAGCCACCGCGCCCGGCCTCTAACATTATTTTAATGGCATAATAAGTAACACTAAAGTTGTACTTTTTAGCTATATAAATGTTTATTTTGTAATATAAGACATACATTATTTTAAAAGGTGTCTTAATGAATCCACGTCTATGTCTAAGAGCTTCAGGGATACATATCAATCCATGACAACGTGATAATTCTCTTCTGTTGAAATAATGCACATAAGGATGATACCTGTTGACAAATTGTTTTATTTTATTCAGTTGGTTAGAAGCAAATTTCTGAACATCTTGTGGAAAGGGATTATGAATCCTCTTGCAAAATATGGAGTGGAAATGAAATGCTTTTAAATTAACACAAATGGGCATTACCACCTG